GTCAACCTGTTGTAAAAAAGCATCAATAATTAATAAATTGATAGCCCAATAATGACAAATGGAATCAGGGTCTGGTAACTATATCTTACTTGTTACGGAACCAGCGACAGCGACCTTTAAATTTGAGTCCTTAAACCACTCGCTACCCATAGACAATGAAATATATGGTCCTCAAGTAAGTACCAAAAATATATTGAATCTGTTGAATTGATCAAAATAAAACGAAAATAAAGAATATTTTTCTGAAAACGATTCTTAGTGAGATAACTAAGAGTAATTTATAAATAATTATTACAGAATTTAATAATGAAGAAACCGCTGCCCACAATTTGCATAGTATATTTTTTATATTGTACAAAATTATTCTTTTTGCTGAGTCATAACCACACTATTAGTCACATACAGCAGTTTAAATATATAAAAAACAGCTTAACTTCTTTTTAGCGAATTTCCCATATAGGGAATAAGCTATTACCGTAGTACTCATGGTAAGACCTGGACACGGGACCGATTTACTTTTTCGTTTTGAGGTCCCTAGAGACCAAAAACACCATCTGTTTAAATTCATAATATATATATATTTATTATTTTCTTGCATGTTTATTTTTATATATGTGTTATTTATGTTTATATATTTATATATTTATATAATGCCTTTAACTGTTCAAAATCAAACATGTACTGTAATTTATTATAGGTACCAAAAATAGTCAAATAAAAACACACCCATTCATTATTACCTTAACTTTATAACTTTGAATACCATACCCACATGGAGGCAGAGCCTTGGGGGATTTTTGTTTTGAGAAGGAGAAATGAAAAAACATTCCCAGGCATATAGTATAGTATGATTTTGATTTATTCGTATAGAGTTTGGCAATGTAAATGACAGACACACTCACTGGTGTTTTTATACAAGAGTACAGTAACAGATTGAATTTAATTGCCCTCTACGAAACCTAAAATTTCACACTAAAATAGAGAAAGCTAAATGTTTGTAAAGCTTATGAAAATCCCCTATAGAACATTTTAAAAAGCAAATGGGGATGATGTGTTTTTTTGTAAAGGCTTATCAGCGTGAAGGAAAAGTTTGAAAGACATTAACATTAAAATTGTCAATGTCTGTAATGCTTTGAAACAAAGATAAAACTAAAAGTGATGAGATTAATGCAGATTTACCAACAACAAATTTTTGGCGTTCAAATTTTCAAACAGCACACAAACATTAATCTAGACCCTTAATTTAGAGAGCCGTTTTACAGTAGTTTTTAGAAAGTGGATAGGTACGACACAGTTACTTACAGTAAGTTAAGAACGTTTAATTTGCAGGTGTATATTAAGCACATAACAACTGTTCATTATTCAAGTTTTTGTTTTTCTCACTAAAGGTGCTTCATTCACCAGCGGTACTTAAATGGACTCCGAATTCCACTGCCTTTCTTACATGAATATTATTTCATTTAATCCTAGACTTACATTAACAGTTGATACATTTTGGAACCTCAAGTAGATCAGGTAGATTACTGATTACTCCAATGTATTTTTGAACACACCAACAATCTTTCCTGACAACAATCAGTTAACTGAAGAGATAATTCTTTTCATAATAGTATTGTAAATAACACACAATATGACTAAAAAGTATCACTTTGGTGTGAGAACATGTCAAACCTATGGTTTACGTTTTTTTAAATAAAATAAGACGTAAACAAAAAATAAAATGATCGTATAATAATTTAGCTTTGCAATATATTACTCCAAAAATAACGGTAATATTTGATTTAGAGTATTTTTGGCAGGAAAGGATGAGTTTATAAATACAAACTTCTGTACGCATTATAAAAGAAGTCTGAAATTGTTTGCCCAAATAATCTTTATATTCAGTTACTTTTACCAATGTTTTTAAAAGTTTTGCTTCCTATTATATTTTAGAGTAGTTTGTCTGCCTGTAAATAAGATGGAGTGGAATAATATTCTCAATTATTGAAGGGAAGTATATTAAAATTCCCTTTCATCATTAGATACAGTATGTACAATATTTTTGTTGGCAGTATCAATCAATAGTGTCTAGCAAAGTAGAAACCCAGAATAGTTTTTTATACAGAAATTAATTTAATAGTTAACCTACATGTCGGATGCAATGTTACTCTTCAATAAAACTAAAAATGACAGAGTGGTGGTGAATACAGTGAATGGGTCTTACCAATGACTCAGTTGTATTTATTTTTGGCACATGAGGAAGTACTATCTAGCTAGCCACTGCTGTGCTTCTTTAGCTCACCTTTTATGGTACAACTGTGGAACAGTAGTTGATCAATGTACATTACTAACATACTACTTTGTCAGAAGATACTCATAGTTGTAAAATGTCTTGGAAATTGCTACACCCCCCCCCCTCACACACACACACAAGATTAGAATAACTTTTTATGTTTGATTGGAAAGGGCTAATTTCCTGAGAATTAAGGAGACAAAAGGACAGGATAAGCAGGCGTAACTTAAAAATTGTAGGCATCTTACTTCACTAAAATAACATAAAAGAAACACTGAATATTTCAAAGCCACTGGCCCCTTTCTCAACATCGAGAGTCACATTACAAATATTCAGTGTTTCTTTGGTGAAGTGGGATGCCTACAATTTTTAAGATTAACTTTTTTGTTGTATGTAAAATGTAATTTAGGTTATGTTTGCTTTTTTAGGTTATGTACCTGATCTGCAGCTGTGGTTCATGTAGTAACAATGGTGAAATCAGCTGATCATTCTTGCTTTAGAGTATAAATGAACCATTTTGCTTATTGGTTACAGGTGTGGCAATGTGATCATTTCCATGCAGTGGTTGGAAAAAAATGACAAAACTTGAGATCCCTTGGTGTCAGTAGCCATATACAAAATCCCATCAAAATCGGACCACAGGTGTCTGTCACTCTGTACACACACAGCTTCAATTCAAAAACCACTTTTTGGGGTTTGGGGGGGACCAAAACAGATATTTATACCCAAAATTCAAACTCGAATAAGGAGAGAAAGTAAAAACAATGTGCTTTTTAACTTTTTTATTTTCTGCAAAAAAACAACACAGAATAGGAACTTTTTCAATACTGAGAACATATTCTCAACGATACATGGTATTACTTAAAATCTAAACTGTCTAGATGAACAGATAATATGAACTTTTAGTTGGTTATTACCAACCATTATAAAAAATTGCATAAAGGCTTGTCTGAAAACAATACATATTTTCAAACTGACCATGGCTGCACAAAATAATACTATTACTTAACATCTTAAATGTCAAGATGAAAATATGAATTTTTATTTGGTTATAAATTACTATTCATAGAAAATTGTATATAAATGCATGTCTGAACACAAAACATATCTGAAAACCGATCATGACTTGGTACAATACATGACTATTGCTTAACATCCAAACAGTAAAAGATGATGATAAGAATTTTTAGTTGGTTATAAAATACTATTATAGAAAATCGGATAAAGACATGTCTAAACTCAATAAATACATATTTAAAAACTGACCATGGCTTGTTACGATACATTACTTTTACTTAACATCTTGCTAACTGTCAAGATGAATGTTTAGTTAACAATAACTACTATTTGATAATCAGATTAAGACATGCCTGAACACAGTACATATTTTTAAACTGACCATGGCTTGTTACAATACAATATACTATTATTTTCCATCTTTACTAAAGATGAAAATAATAATTTTTAGTTGGTCATAAAATACTATTATAGAAAATTTGATATCATGTTTGCACACAAAACATAATTTAAAACTGATCATGGCTTGCTACGATACATCATCTTTAACTGTCAAGATGAAAATAGAAATGTTTAGTTAATAATAACTACTAATTGTAAATCGGATTAAGACATGTCTGAACATATTACATATTTTTAAACTCACCATGGCTTGTTACAACACAATACTATGACTTAACATCTCAATTGTCAAGATGAAAATATGAATTTTTAGTTGGTTATGATTACTATTATAGAAAATCGGATATAAAGACACGCCTGAACACAAACATACCTTAAAACTAATCATGACTTGGTACAATACATGACTATTACTTAACATGTTTACTGTCGAGATGAAAATCTGAATTTTTAGTTGGTTATAAATTACTATTATCGAGAATCAGATATAAAGACATGTCTAAACACAAAACATTTTTTTAAACTCACCATGGCTTGGTACAATACATGACTATTACTGAACACAATACATGAGCGATACTTCAAATGTAAAATGCCAAGATGAAAAATGATTTTTTTAGGTAATAATATGTAATAGAACATGTCTTGTATGAGCATAATACAAATTACCCTAATTGACTTAGGTAATTGAGCATTTTAGTCTTAAAACTAGAGATGTGTCAATTATAATTCGTCAGCAAGATAAGCTGTAATTTAATCTATCCACCACAAATGTTTTTTTAAACCCCGGCCTAATGCCATCTATACCAGAATCATTATTTGTGATGTGGAAAGCGAATAGGGACCTCTTGTCGGGAATTTTAGAGTCTGAGTTATATATATATTTGAATTCCTTATTAAATTCCGAATCACTTGATGCAAGTCCCATGCATCTACGATTTTTTTGTTACAGTTATATGACTTCGAAATTTTGTTATGGAAAAGGGTGATTTTGAGAAAACCAATTTTGAAAATTTCAATAACGCATAAAAACAGATTTTTTATTTATTTAAGAAACGATTTTGGTATCAAAAGAAAGCTTATAATGACCTCTTTGGAGGCAAAAAAAGTTTTGTCTTAACTCCCGGTAGTTTTAATTTAAATAACTGTTTTATGCATGTCGTAAAAATCGCATTTCCGAAAATAGACCTCTTGTCGGCTCTATGTTATTTCTATATAAGATAAGAAAAGGTACTCTTGTCGGGATCGCTAAACTTGTGATTTATTTTATTCTCGGGACACTGAACTTTGTTGTAGTTTTCTAAATTTCCTCTAGAATGCAGGACAATTCATGTTTTGGACTAGTCTGTTTACAAAGTGAATATTACAAATGGGACCTCTTGTCGTGATGGCGAAATAATATTGAGCGACCTTGTAGGCCTACCTTTTCTCAGGCCGTGCAGAGGCTGACAAAATTATTTATTTCAACCTTTTAAGGATTCGATTCTATATTTTAACCGATGCTGTCCTGTTCTATGATAAATGAGGTATAACAATAGATACAAAACCGAATTGGCGAATTTTGATATTTTTGACCTTATTTACTTATGTCGGTCGTACTGAAAATTTTGCATCGCCAACAAGAGGTCCCTTTTCGGTTTCCTCATCACATTTATTAAGTGCTTTGTCAAAAGAATGACTAAAATATACATTAAATGTTAACAAAATGTTTATTTTTAAGCATTTGGAAAATCCTAACTTGCACCTAACATTGACGCTTAGTTTCAAAGATCAACAAAACAATGTGTCACAAAATTAATGGGCTGAATTTGTAGGTAAATTGTTTGATAAGTTATCTATCATTCCATCAATGGTATCAGTATCAAAAATCAATAAATTCCAAAACCGACACATCTCAACTTAAAACTAATAACAAAACATAAAACATTATACATAGTAACACATTATAAAAGTATAAAAAATAGCCACAATATGCACAAAAGGCACTTTCATTTCTAATGCTTGTGTAGTGGCTTTACACCTAATTAACAACAAAAACACTTGCTCTCTAGTCCAAAGAAAACCTCGAAAACAAAACACATTTCACTTATTTTATCTAAGTTCGAGCATCAATAGGAAAATTCAACAAATCATTACACTTTATTAGTTGTAATGGCACTTCGTGGCTAGGCTATCACATCTGAAAAAAACAACACAGAAGATCAAATTTAAGAGCAATGTTAATATAAACTTAATACTTTATAAATTACTAAATTAGCTAAATTACAACTCAAATATCAGAAAAAGTGTCTAAATTTGACCCTTGTTGTATTATATGTATTGTATTGTACTATAACTTTTTTTCCTCGAGGGCCACATTGTACATTTTTTGGAGGGAAGGCAGACCAGTCATATTTCAGAGCAGAAAGCTAACCTCTCCCCCATCAACCCACAAAGTCGTCAACTAATTAGGAGGTTAATAGTGGTTTTTAGATTTCAGATTAGTGGCCGGCATAACCCACAACCTATCAAACTGTTGTTGACGGACCCCTATATGTACCCTTATTACGATAGTCCCATTTTATTCACCCACGGAATTTAAGTCACAATGTTTACTGCTAATTTTCCCCTATTGAGAAAAAAATTGCAAGTGAGAGACATGTACTACACTCATATTGAAACATATTATCTAGCCAACCTGGAGACTGGGAATTGTACATGATTGTACATAATACTTTTGATGAACGGGAAAAAGATAGTGATTTGTACGTCAAGTAGTTCTGACACTTCCTAAAATGACTTCAGATCAGTTAGCCTAATTTCAAATTAACTTTCCCACTTTGATTCATTCACTTTTGCAATTAATAACATGAAAAGCAAGGAAAGACACAAAAGGAGAGAGGAGCCTGCAGTTATAAACTAGTATGTTTGTCTAACCTTTTATTTTTTATAATAATTAATGTGTTGTATGCATGTGTATGTAAAACACCCTATATAATAGAAAATTGTCTGTTAATTAGTGTTTGATTTGACTAGTCATTAGTTTTTAAGTTAATAACATTTAATGGAATAAAGAAATGTAAATAGCTAATCCAGGAGAATGCTTAGTGATGTAAGTTACCAAAAAGGTTCTTTGTAACACTTAAAACTTCCTCAAAGACTTACTTTCTTTGGGTAGAATGATGTAGGAGGTCTTACAACTCCATTTCCTCACTGTCATTATAGGCTGCTTCACCCTGTCTTGGTGGCCAGGATTGTTCTTCCACCTGAAAAATGTGTACAAGATTATAAATTTAAAATAAGAAAAAGTATAAAAGTTACCTAAGTAGAAACATGAATCAGTTTTAAACTGAAAAGATTTTTCATATTTATTTCTTGTAATAATTGGGAGATGCTAAATGAAAAAAAAACAATTTTATAGCTGGCAACATATTGTTATGCAACAGGCAAATGAATATGTTTAAATATTTTCGTAAAAAGCTGAGATAGTCTTTCATCATCTAAGTCATAATTGAGAATATACCAATAATACGATTAACAAAGTCTTCACGACGTCTTGGGATCTGGAATCAGACACTCGCTTCAGAAAGCACATTTAAAATATAGCCTAACAAGAAAAAACAACAAAAAAACAACCCGCAGAAGTTCTGTATAGTAGTAGAACACAGATAAAAAAAAGAATGGACATTGAGTTAAATTTCAGCAAGAATATAGAAACTTCAAAAAGAGTAGGCGTAATAGATGACATTTTTTGCAAAAACTGGAAAACAATTAATTCATGTAAAAATCACGCTTTCACATCTTACTGCCCAAATAGTGTGGATATCAATTGTTAAAAACTAGCAATAACATAACACCATCTACTCAGAATATTGTGGAAAATTTAAAAATAAATAATTTAATTTATATTATGAAAATTGAGTGGTGGTAAAAACTGACATTTTATCACCGGAACTGGTAATACTGAGAGATGCCTTCATGTAGGGACACATCACTAGTTGTGGAAATGACAAAATACCTCCAATCCTCTTTAAAAACCCACAATGCTGATAAAAACCAAAAGCACATGTAATAAATGCTTCTTTTGTTCATATAGTTTACCCTTATACATTGAAAATTTCATAAAGTAAACAAGCCCATTTTTGAGAAAAGAGAGAGAGCTGATCCTTTCAATTACCAATTCAATTGCCAATTATAAAAGAATGCCGGGATTTTGATGTATAGCCAATTTCAACAAATTACATGTACTGTTTTGTCCTTTTGGTTAACTAATTTTGTTTCATACTGTCCCAAACCGCATAAAAAGTCATTAATACCGCATAAAAATAATGGAATTTTTTATCTTCAACAACTAACTGATGGTAAACCAATACTAGATTTTGAGTAAAGCCTATGACCAATAATAGTTTTTCCCAGCTTAGATGCCCTAAATATCCTGAAGGCTTAGGTTCTAAGGATTTAAAAAAAAACAATGTTTCTATACTTACAGGAATTAGAGGAACGAAAAACGGGTCAAGGCACAGCTGCCTGAGGGTCCGTGGCCTTTCAGTAGTGGGGATTGAACCCCCCTCAGACATGTCTTTCCTAGAAGGTATTGGACTTGGCTCCCTTACTTGCGATTGATGCAGCATGTACCTTCGGTACTTATCTGAAAGACGGACATACAAAATATTTATGAAATATACAAGTGCAAAATAAAAAACAGTGCAGAACAAAAAGAAATTAAGTCAAATTTGAGTAAAAATTCTAAATCAAATTAAGTTTATAAAAACTCTAGGGAAATTAATAATATGAATGATAACTGAAATTTTATTCTGATTAATCAAAAGAAAATGGCAGAACATCAAAATAACACAAAGTTAACAATTTAAGTTTGCTAGCAAGATTCAAGGAAATGCATGATAGCAATTTATAGATATCAGTTGGAGAAAAAGGTTATGAACCAAATCAGTATATCCTAGCTCCTTAATTACTTTAATTTTCTTTATTTAAGTAACATTGTCAAAAATCAAGTGGTGTTACTATGGAGCTGCAAGTTTGATGCATCTGGTATATTAAATAAAAAAAATAGCTACCTCTTCATGGGACACCTTATGTATTAGCTTACTACAAATATTTTTCAGAACAAACATTCAAAAAATAATCCAACCTAAAGCAACTAATACGAACAAAGATTTGGTATTCATCTTGGGTGAATAGTATTCTAAGTTTAGTATTATATTATCTAAGATGAATATTTAGCCAGGGTGAATGATTAATGTAAAAGTGCAATGGAGATTATCCCAGGTTTAGTGAGTCTTCCACATAAGACTTCCAAAGAATAAGCTGCAAAGTTTACAGACTTTAATTTAACAACAAGATAATGTCTCTTTGGTATCAATTACGATTCAACCAACATTTACCTAATGGGTTGCCTGAGTTCTTGAATTGTCGTTGTCAACCTATGTGCATTTCACCGATTGTGAATTTTCTAGAAACGACAATCAAAGAACTCAAGTAACCAATAAGGTGTATATATATAGTTTAATTTTGTTCTTGAAACTTGGTCATGGTGTCTACTAAACCTGGTTTGAAAAATTCAAGGAGTTTTCCAGGAGAATTCAAGACAAATTCCTGAATTTTAAGAGCTATTATCGAAACCCGCTCAACTAATCGCAACCCGCTGATAATTATTAATTATTTTTAATTGAAACAAAACTTTTCCAAAGAATAATATTTTATACAACATAATAAAACAGTATAACTGGTAGGTAATGCGACACCAGTTATCATCTCCCGCGATCGTGGGAATACCGGTGAGCATATTTTACAGTCTCGTCAAACCTGCAACCGGTCGCGGCAAAACAGGGTTCGCATATTTTATGATTTCAGCGACACCTAGAATCATTTCCCGCGATCGCGGCAACACCCGTGTGCATATTTTGCGGTTTCGGCAACACCGATAATCGTCTCCAGCAATCGCGGCAATACCCGTGAGCATATCTTGCAGTTTCGGCGACACCGATAATCGTCTACCGCGATCGCAGCAATACCCGTGAGCATATGTTGCGGTTTCGACGACACCGATAAACGTCTCCCGCGATCGCGGCAATACCCATGAGCATATCCTGCGGTTTCGGCGACACCGATAATCGTCTCCCGCGATCGCGGCAATACCCGTGAACATATCCTGCGGCTTTGGCGACACCGATAATCGTCTCCCGCGATCGCGGCAATACCCGTGAGCATATCCTGCGGTTTCGGCGACACCGATAATCGTCTCCCGCGATAGCGGCAATACCCGTGAGCATATCCTGCGGTTTCGGCGACACCGATAATCGTCTCCCGCGATCGCGTCAAAACCCGCGAACCGCGAACATATCCTGCGGCTTCGGCGACACCGATAATCGTCTCCCGCGATCGCGGCAATACCCGCGAACATATCCTGCGGCTTTTGCGACACCGATAATCGTCTCCCGCGATCGCGGCAATACCCGCGAACATATCCTGCGGCTTCGGCGACACCGATAATCGTCTCCCGCGATCGCGGCAATACCCGTGAGCATATCCTGCGGTTTCGGCAACACAGATAATCGTCTCCCACGATCGCGACAATGTAAGCATATCCTGCGGTTTCGGCGACACCGATAATCGTCTCCCACGATCGCGGCAATACCCGTAAGCATATCTTGCGGTTTCGGCGACACCCGATAATCGTCTCCCGCGATCGCGGCAATATCCACGGGCATATCCTGCGGCTTCGGCGACACCGATTATCGTTTCCGATGCTTCCAAAGCTCGTTTCAATTTTGGCAACAAAAGCGGTAGTGTTTCTGTTAGCCGACGATTCCGATGACTGGGCTCCGGATTCCCGGAGGTTTGGGTGGATTCCTGGAGTTTTCCAGGACATTTTAAGGTAAGAAAAAATTTCCGGAGTTTTCCCGGTTTTCCCGAATTTCCCGGAGAGTAGACACCATGTTGGTTCACAAACTATTTACGATTTAACACTGTAAGCTACATTTTTTCGATATTTTAATAACAGTAAAAGGGGATAAAGCAGGAATTCAAACAGTAAAATCTACATTAAATTAAGCCGTCTCCCACTTTGCTCTAAGTTACTGTTTCACACAATAAATTAAATGAATGACTGAATGAATAATTTGAATAGATAATAAGCATTTGATTGCAAAACACATAAATATAAACACATATAAACACATTAAAACATATATAATAGAATGTAAATAAATTAAAATGTTAACTAAAAATAAAGATATTTCTATGCCTAAACTACACATTACTGACTAAACTACAAACTAATCAATTATCTATACTACAAATTAGGATAAAAGATCCTGAAATAATCAAACTCCAAATTAAACCTCTAATGAGTTGAAACTACTCGTAATTACAAGCAACGTGAGAACAATTATTAACGAGTAAGAAACAAAATAACATAAGAAAGATTAACGAGCAAGAAATTTATTTCAACTAACCAAGCAAGACAATCAATGCCAGTCCAGCTAGCAAGAAAACACTTATGATTAGTAGAAGTAGAACCCTGTATTATTAATTGTGATACACCATTTTAAGATAAAATGTATTAGTTAAATACTGGAAATACATTATACAGGGTGAGGGAGTGAAACAACATGATTCCGATACCAGCTGACAAGGAATTGGGGGCTATTAGAGTTTTGGGGAAATGGCCATAGGCGCCTAGACAAGTGGAAAATTCAGTAGCTATGGAGCGTTGGATGAGTGCACAACACGCGTTTGCTGTAAAGACATATTACAAAAATGTGAATATAATGGTTTGTGCTCAGCGCACTTTCCGTTGTGAGTTCAGTTTAACGCCGCAGTCTCCCCCATTAAGGCAAGCTATCTTCCTTTGGGCAAACGACTTTCAATCCACTGCTAGCACGACAAAGCGCTATATGATTACAAACGCTAAAAATCTTTATGGCCTGATTACAATTCATAATTCAACTAAGTATGCAAAACCAAGTACCTACGCCATTTCACTGACACTTAATTAAAAAAAAATTTTAAGGAGAAACATTAATTACCACTCTTGTACTTAGAATTTATGTTTATTTGTGATTTTTCAAAATTGTGTGGTTTTACTGCCTTGCCCTGTATCCCCACATAAACAATCCTTCACAAAAGAAAATTTCCAATTGCTCAGTTGGATTTTCATTAAAATATTTTATTTATTTATTTAGATTTTTTTCCTGTTTGAATGGCATACATTTTTATGAGTAATTAGATATGCAACCACAGGTAAGGTTTTTCCCTAGGGTGCTAGGCACGAGCCCGGCATTGTTTTTCACATTACTTGAGACTAGACCTAGGGGTTGAGGTATTGTCACTTGGATCAATCCATTGGTGATTGGGGGGTTTGAACCTGGGACTTCAAGGCCTGAAGTCCCAGCTCTACCATTGATCCCGTTGATAACATGGGAATTTTAAAGTTAAAGTTGTGGGAACTCCCTCCGAAACTAACAGACGTAATACAAAAGCGCTTTAGCATACTAAATTATTAGTTTCTTAAAAGCTCTACAAAATGGTTTTGAGAGATTGCACAATTTTATGTTTTTGGGGTAAAAAATGGGAAAAGCCAATTTTGACCCCATAAGTCCTGTTCTAAGTCTGATAATTCTGGTTGGTGAAGTTGATAAAACAAATGTAATTTTACAAATTTGCTAGGTGTGCTCACCCCCCCCCCCCCTTAAATCCTTCCCCACCCGCAGGTTGAGAAAGGCTGTTTCATTGTTGATTTACTTAGGTTATAATGGCTATTTATGAGCCTTATATGTCAAGAATATGAGAACGTATAACTAATGTATTTGTAAAAAATAATTTACTCCTTCTCCTGCCAGCCTCACGCATCGAAAGAGGGTAATTTTCCTCGTCTGAAGAACTTTCAACATTGGAGTTTGGGTCGATGTTTTTTCCCAACCGCTTTCTGTCGGACGCTGTAAAATATATTGAAAGGAAACGAAATGTATTAGTATGTAATTTGGTAAGCTGGGGGGTAGCATAAGCAAAGAGTATTTTTTAGAGAATATTAAAGAAACGGATACAAGCCAAGTTTTTCAAACCCATTCTTTAAAAACAACAAAGGAGCTGAATGTACAAAGCAGTAAAATGTAAAATGAAAATCAGCAACAAAAGTGAATGTGTAGCACAGTGAAAGTGTTATTGTAAAGAGTAACTTCTTTCAATATATTCCGATAAAGAGTCGAATATCAGGGTCTCCACTCAAACTTAAAAAGTGAAATTTGCAGTTTCCACATTTCATATTTTTGTGAATATGATAAAGGTCTAAGACTTAGGCCGGGTACAGCAAAACTGTAGTCCCTCAAACTCAGTCAGACGCCAGCCCAATAGAATGTGATTCCGATTTCTGACCAAGTTAAAATACAAAATTGATATGAACAAAACAATTTCAATTCAACCAAACAGGTCTATTAAATAATTAACTGAACAATATTTGAAAGTGAAATAAAAGATTCATACACAAATAATAACTCTCAATATATTATAAATTTAACTGAATATTTGCAATGATGTTAGGGACTGAAAAAATACAATAAATTGCCGTTCATGTTTTCCTACAGGGATTTTAATGATTTTTTATTTTTTGTACATGAATCTTTGAATATTTAAGCTGTTTGTAAATTTGAAAATTCACGATGCCATCTTAAATCGTAGATCAGATGATCATTACGTGGCCGTAATCAAATGTGTGAGTGAGGTCAAATACTTAGGTGTGATTATTATTGATACGATACCTAAAATTATTTGGCCACAAAAATGTTTTCAAAATTACATAATAGTTTTATATAGCCCGAACCTTGTAGCTTTGTAGTTAACAAACATTTAGAAATCTCAATGACAAATTGTTAGTTTGTTAGTCCGGCTATGGCTGGATTAAACAATATCTTGTGTCTATATATTGAGTGCTGGAGTGAGGTTAGTAGTGTTAAGCCGGGTTTACACTATGTAGCAAAAACTGCTATATAACTTTTGCTATATAACATTGTTATATAACATTGCTATATAACTTTTACGATACAAAAAAGTTACAGACAATTTTGTGATTCCGGTGCCCGTGCTATATGTTTTATGTAGCACAACCTCATTTACATTATGTATCGAAAATGTCGAGCCGAAGAGACATTGTTCGAGGCAGCTATCACAGTGATCAGAAGTCAGAAGCGGAAGCGATCCATAATTAAAACGCGAAATAAGACGATGGCAGATTCAAAAATGTTTTACGTATGACCACAACGCCGGTTGTCCACGGAACAGTTCAATTAAAGTTTATAATAGCATCCCGATCCCACGCACTGTCGCTTTACAGTCTTTCCATTGTAAACAAAGATCCCCGAGCAAAAACGTCCGTACACAGGAGGCTACAACTGTGAACTTTTGTGAACTGTTGACACTAAATGCTACATATAGCAGATGCTAGACGAAAAATATTTGTATAACATTGCTACATATAGCAATGTTAGATGTAGCATGCATTTCTTTTGATCTTTACCGACTCCCGATGGATAGCACAATTTTTGCTATATATAGCAGAATCTGCTACATATAGCAGTGTTATATAGCACTTTTGAAAAGTGACTTTTTCTACTTCTAGCAAATGTTATATAACATTGCTAGATGTTACACAAATCTGCTATATAGCAGGTTTTGCTACATAGTGTAAACCCGGCTTTAGCAAGTAAGTATGTGTGTGTGTGTGTGTGAGAGAGAGAGAGAGAGAGAGGGAGGGAGAAAGAGAGAGTTATTGTTGACAGTATCATTCAATTTTTAGCAAATCTAATATAATAATACCGGTCAGAGTTGAACCGTAATACCGGATGAGTTTTTCATGTCAAGGAGCTATTACCGTAGTTGACATGGAACACCTAAACCTAACACCAATTTATTTTTTTTTTATTTTGATGTCCACAGTAACCCAAAACACTATTCAAGTGTGTATCTATATTATATATTTATAAATACAAGGTAGCGACAAAAAAACCCAATCTATTTTCTCCAGCACACTGTTCGGCGACAGGTCTTCTGAGGATGGTGGAAGTGCCCATAGTCATAGAGCATGGTCACCTGAGCAACGTGCGTTTGTTATCGAGTCATTTAAAAAAAGCTATGATTCAGTCATTGCAAACTCAGTGGCAGTTCCATACATTTTTCAATATTTTTACCGAATTTTGCAAGATTGTTATTTCAATCAACATTTTAGTAAAAGAACATACATTATTACCTTACCAGTAGCAGCAAACCTAAGTACTTCTTAGATATAATGTTATTTAAATAGGAAATTAATCCGTTAATTTCAAAGAAATATTTGAGTTTAAACCTAACTGGTCAAATGTAAATTTGCTTAGTCTGCAGGTTAGCTGCGGCAGGGGTATTTTTCATAGTTTTCCTTAGCATAATTATTCCCTGGTTTTATTAATGTTTTGTGAAGAGCTTGAGCTTAAAAAAATAATTTGTATACAGGTTGTCCATAAAAAACGTTTCAGGACTTTGGGAAATGAATCCCCATACTTGGAAGAAAAAGGCTTATGGGAAGGTATGTCCGAAAATGCATATTTACCCAGATATCCGCCATTTTGTTTTTTATACAAAATATTTTTATCTGTGAAGTTTTTTATTCGATGATTATGAAATTTGGTAAACATGTTAACATACACAATACCTATAACAGAAAAAATAACAAAGTTGATCCGATAGTAAATTTCAAAATGGCGGCCGTTTAACTTTATTTAACTTAAATAACTCAAAAACGGCTAATTCTATGAAAACATGTCTAGAATATTTTTTTTAGCATTTTTAATTTCCTATCAAACAGTACCAAGATCAAAAAGATTGGACAAAAGATAACTGAAATTTAACGTTTTTTATGTAAATATATGGCAAAGTTATTCGGGGAACCCTTAGTTTTTGCCTTATTTTTACACAAAAAACGTTATATTTCAGTTATTTTTTGTCCGATCGTTTTGATCTTGGTATTGTTTGATAGAAAATTAAAAATGCTAAAAAATGTATTCTTGACATTTCTCATAGAATTAGCTGTTTTTGAGTTATTTAAGTTAGAAAAATTTAAACGGCCGCCATTTTGAACTTTACAATCGGATCAACTTTGTTATTTTTTATATTATAGGTATTGTGTATGTTAACATGTTAACCAAATTTCATAATCATTGAATAAAAAACTTCACAGATAAAAATGTTTTGTATAAAAAACAAAATGGCGGATATCTGGGTAAATATGCATTTTCGGACATACCTTCCCATAAACTTTTTTCTTCCTTTTAGTATGGGGATTCACTTAAAGTCCTGCAACGTTTTTTATAGACACCCTGTATAAAAGTGTTGATGAACCAAAAAGCGTTGGAAGAAAATTTAAAAAACTGTACATTTAAAATTCCTATGTTATTTTTATGGAAAGAAAGTGATCTGACATATTCAAGGAAATATTTTATTGAAAATCCAATAAGACAAATTGAAAGTCACCTACAGGTATTTTTTTTTTATTTGTATAGTAACTTTTTATAGTTATGTTGAAGTTAACTGCTGAGGTTCCTCGGTGACACTGTCAGTTTGTTTTTTCTCTTGATTAATTAATTAATAAGTACATTACTGTAAAGGTAGTATAATTAGTAGCTAAGGCTGTATTAGGATGACTGATGACATCTTTTTTCTACACGCAGGCATAACCTATGTGGGGACTGATCCATTATTTAATTTTGTTTGTTTGTTTTAGTAATAAGTATTATTTATTTCAATGATATTATTTCATTTTAATTTCAATCGTAGTTGAGCACAATTCCCCTACAATCGAAAATTCTGGAACTAGCACTGAATTCAAAGTCACACAGTATCAAAGATTCCTCAATACCATTGATATAAAAAGTTTTGAGGAATTAGGAATCGGAAAAATTCATGGTTCAATCAAGGTTTTTCATGGTTGACCGTATTCGTAGTTTATTTAAGGTTAAAAATTTTCACATTTGAGTGGTACCCTGAGCGCGTTAGGCATTTTTGTATAGTTGAAAAACACTTGGCTTGAATCCTGTTTTGTTGTAATATTATATAAAAAAGGTTGCATACAAATAAACCAATTATTCTTTGAGGTTAAACAACTCAACTGCACTAAAATGTATGAAAAAACATTTGGCAAGCTTTAAAAAAAGAAAACTGCTGGATATGGAGAACTTCAAAACAGCTAATTTGCAGCAGATTTCATAAACTATTGGAAATGGTTTTAAATGTGAAATTTCATGGTTGAAATTTCAACTAAAAGACATCAAGGATTATTTTTGGAATCATAAATCTACATTTTTAAATAGTCACAGAATAACCTTGATATAACGAACCTTGATATAATGAACCTCAATATACAGTAACATATTCCCTGATAACAATTTTTATAAAACTCCTAGAACCTCTATTTAACAAACAAACCATATCAACAACCTTGATTTAAATTTTTTTTGACGATTTTGATAATTTATCATTATTAGAACCTCAATGGTACGGTAGCGAATAGTTGATACTTGACTTGGTACTTGATGAATTATCTGCTTCTTTCTCTCAATATATATAACAAACCCCCACATTATTGTTTTTTTTTTAAATCACAGTTCCTTTGATGAAAATGAAATGAAAAGATAACATCAACACCCCCAAAACAGGACTACAGGCGACAAGAGCATTAAGACGAGGAGGGCTAGAGACAGCCCAGCCTGCTCAACTGGTTGTTTTGAATTTTTGTTTTTTTCTTTATGGTATTGAACAATTATTTATTTTCACAGGCAAGGTTAGGGCCACATGGCCCTTTCTTACACTTAACCTCTATAAGAAAATGCTATAGGCTATTACAAGTTAATCAAATAGTATTTTTGAAGAAAATATTTCTGTATAAAGACAACTCTGTTTTCTGCAGGAAAATTTT